TATAATATTTTTGCAACTACAATGCTGATGTCAACACAAGCGTGGTTACAGCGAGACTGACTGAGTGAGGGAGAGCTATGCGTGTGTGTGAGAGGTTGCTGGAGCGGGCGGTGTCCCGTGTTTGGTGCCGCGCGCAAGTTGAATGGCGCGCGATTTGAATGTACTTCAATTTCTTCAATGTACAGAATATTCCTCCAGCGGGGCAATCCGCGTATTTGCAAATCCGTGTATTATAAACCCGCGTATGTTAAGGGCCGACTGTACTAAATGTAAAAAAAAGTAACATTTATCAGCACTGCAGGCAAAGAATGAAGCATCATAGTAGGTGACACAGAGTTTTGGTTGGTGACAACAGAGGCATGGTAGGTGATGCAGGTGGCCAGATATGCCAAGAGTTTCCCAGATAATTTGATATATGTCGGCATTTTCTGAGTTATACTATAATACATTCCAAGACCATATCCATGCTGATTTATATGAAACTCCAAGTTTTCAAATGCCGAGTTATCGAAGGTTTACTGTACAGTCAACCCTCACTTTACGCGGTTAATGTAACCCACAGGGTCCCGCGGAAAGTGAGGAACGCGTAAAGTGAATAACATAACATATGGGATTAATAGAAATAGAGTCCGGGCCGACCCCCAAACTCCACTTTTTGACGACACACAACTATGTTGTAGTACAAATTTTATCTTAACTTTATGATGGTATGAAAAAACAAGTAATATAGAAGAGGTTAGGTTAGGTTAGGTAAAATATAGGTTAACATAGCAAAAATAAAGGTTAGGTTAGGAAAACTAAAAGTTAGGTGGAACACTTACGTTAGCAGAAGAGATGGGTCGGCGTATGGGGATGGAGGCTGGTTCCGAGGCAGAGGGCAGGCTACTGGCCCTCAGGTGAATCACCATTACTAGGTGCATCACCATCACTGTCACTTACAGTTGTCAGGGCTTCCCTGACAAATCCCTCAAAGTCATCTTCACTGTCACTATCACTGGCTTGGGCTGGCTGTGGTGGGTTGCGGGCGAAGAAATCTGTTATGCTTTGCTGACGGCTGGTGTTGATGTTGTCGTGATACACCTTGAAGTAGGGCTCCATAGTCTGCAACAGCTGGGTAGTGAAGATTTCATACCTGTTTGCGTCAGGGTCGACGGAAAGGAGGAGCTTGGCTTTCTCAATACACTCGATGGCACCCCTAACATTACTATGGGATAAGTGTTGTTGTTCTTGGGATGACGCACCACCTGCCTCTTCACTGACGTCGTCATCATCATGTACCATCTCCTCGGTAGTCACATCAGGTTCCATTATCACCTCCATGATGTCGTCGTTGGTGGTCTCGGAGAAGCCTGGAACTGTAACAGTCTGCGCAGCTTCTCTGGCAAGGTCCACTGCTACTGCAACAGTCTGAACCTCACCAGTCACAGATCGACTCCTCCTCTCACCTGGTATTCCATGCAACACATGTCTCCATGCGTGACGAATTGTAGCAATAGACAGCTGATCCCATGACTCCACTAAGAAGTCCACAGCTTTCTTGATGTTAAATACTCTCCAGAATTGTTTGAAGAGTATTTTTTGCTGTGCCAACTGTTGATCCTCATCTTCTTCACTCTTGCTATCGGTGGTGGTGGTGTCACTCAGGTTACGCAACTCTTCCCTGGTGTTGGTGTAGTCGTTCAGGAGTTTGAATTTTTTCGTAGAGAATGCAGCTTTTACATTACAGATTAACTCTTGGTCCATGGGCTGTAATACAGACGTAGTGTTGGGAGGAAGGAAGACCACTTTTACGTTGGGGTGACGATCTAACAGTAGGGGCGAGTGTCCTGGTGCGTTGTCCAGCAGCAACAAAATCTTGAATGGCATATTCTGTCGCTCACAGAATTTCTTTACATCGGGAACAAAACAGTCATCAAACCAGGAGAGGGACAGTGTAGAGAACATCCACGCCTTACGTGCGTTCAGCCAGTGGACATTTAGCTTGGTCATGTCCATGGTTTTGTAGGCGTGCGGCTTGCGTGCTGTGTGGATCACCGATAACTTGAGCTTACAGGTACCGGAGGCATTGGTGGTAAATAGGACGTTGATGCCTTCCTTCTGCATCTACCGGCCCCGAATCTTGCTGGCATTCTTTACAACGAAGGACTTGGAAGGTAGCTTTTTCCAGAAAAGACCAGATTCGTCCATGTTAAACACCTGGTCGTCACTGTACTGTCCTTCCTCCATAATCTCACGTAAAAACGGAGGAAATTCCCTAGCCGCAGCACGGTCAGCACTCGCTTCTTCACCACCAATGTTTATATTGGTGATCTTGTTCCGGATCTTAAACCTCTGTAACCACCCAGAGGAAGCATTAAAGGGTTTGGGCTCTGTAATTCCCATCTTTCGTGCCACTGCAATGTACAGTTCACGTGCGTACTCCTTAACAGAGCGCGTGTCGACCGCCATGTTCCGTCGCGCCTGACGCACCAAGTACCTCACAAGTAATTTTTCTGTCTTGAGAAGCACCTGGTTGTGAAAATACTTGATCATAGAAGCACCTGTAGACTTTGTGATCTTCATGTGCTCCTTTATCTTGGCTGCATCCTTCTTTATTGTTCGAATCGTAGATTCATTCACACCATGCTGGCGCGCCAAATCAACCTGCCTTGTTCCTTTCTCCAACTCTTGGATGATGGTATACTTCACCTCGTAGCTTAAGGAACGTCGTGTCTTCTTTGGCTTAGTGCCGCTGGGTCCAGGTAAGGAAAGGTTTCTCTCTGGGGGTGGTGGTCCGGCGGAAGCCATTTTAGAGAACAATGGATGCACGTTTACACGGTCTGGCGTGGAGGGATGAAACTGGCGCGGCTAGGTCAAGGATCGTCTTTCCTCCCTCCCTCTCCCGGGTGGACACGTCATAATACTTTAAGCCAATTACAGCTAGCAGCAGAGGGGGGTAGGGATGCATGGCCAATCACAGTTCGATACGTCATATGACGTCAGTGATAACGCAACAAAGACACACATTGCGCTACCTTACCGCGCGGCTTGCCCAGGCAGAGGGAGGAGGGAGGGAGGGAGGGAGGGAGGAGGAGGGAGAGGCGAGAGCACAGGCAGGCAGGCGGGTGGGGCGAATCTAAAAATAGCGTCGCGCCGGACACTCTTCGCGTAATGGGGTTCACGCACCGCGTAATGTGAGCACGTTAGGTTCTGGCAGGGCACCGCGTTAACGTGGAAACGCAGAATGTGGGACCGCGTAAAGCGAGGGTTGACTGTATTTATAATAATAGTTTGGTGTAAATTAATCACTTGGTAAAAATCAGTATCTGGCACCTTTTTCAGCTCTCTTGTAGTAGAACCAGACTGTCACGAGAGTCTGAGGCTACAGTTACACACAAAAGAAGCAAGGTAGAGATTCGACCATCTGTTGCTCTAGCGCCACCCTATCGGACTGTATCTCGGAACGAGTTTTCTAACCCTCAAATCCCTAAAACTCGGCCATTTATGGGCCAATTCTAATAAAGCAAAACTAAGTAGTAGAATAACATACTGCGCATGGCTGAACATATAGGTTTTATTTATATTTGGCTTGTTTTATTATTTACTGATTTGTCTTTGTAAATATTTTGGGGAAGAAAATGGTAAGTTAGGAAAAAAATTCATGCACCCAATATGAAAGCAATAATCAGAAATATCTTTACTGTATGTCACGTTCAAGAAGAGTAAATTACCTATATTACAAATGAATTTCAACGTAATTCAGTGAGAAGTGATGGAGAAGTGGTATTTTGAAAATTGATAATAATATTAGGGAAAATCAGATATCAGGGATTAGGCAAAACCGATTCAGGGGTATAGCAACAATGCATCTGGTGTCCTTAATTGCTGACAGGAAATTGATATTGATTGATGAACAAATTAACGAATTTCACGCATCAGCCGGATGCTCCCCTTAACTTAAATGAGTGTAGGTAGCGAGGTGTGGCACACTGATACTATACATATGAAGGCAGGACTCAGAGTGAGAGTCTGAGACAGTGAGACATTCTTCATGACACCCATGTACAATCATTCAACTGCTTGTATGAACACACAAACCGTCCAGATTGATGCTGGATTTCAGATGTACAGTGAACCCTCACTTTACGCGGTTAATTCAACGCACAGGGTACCACGGAAAGTGAGAAACGCCTAAAGTGAACAACATAACATATGGCATTAATTGAAATAGAGACCGGGCCGACCCCCAAACTCCACTTTTTCAGACACAATACCTACGTTGTAGTAAAAATAACTTCTTAATTTTATGATGGTATGCACACACAATTAATAATTAAGAGAAATATCAATAATATTAGGTTTTTAACACTTACATTAGTAGAAAAGATGGCTGGGCACACGGGGATGGGGGGTTGGTTCCGAGGCAGAGGGCAGATTATTGGCCCTCACCTGTATCACTTGTATCAATTGTATCACTATCCACCACAGAGGCTTGCAGGGCCTCTTTGTCAAACCCCTCAAAGTCCATATAAGTCCATATCCTCACTATCATTATCACTATCACTGACTTGGGCCGGCTGTGGTGGGTGGCGGGTGAAGAACTCGGTAATGTTTTGATGACTGGGCGACCTTGTGCGCACCCTGCTCACGCCGCTTACACAACATGGCAGATGGCGGGAGGTTTGGATCCAAAAATGGCCCGGCTCGCCAGCCACTCTCCGCGTAAAGGGGTACACGCACCGCGGAATGTGAGCTTCTCGGTTTCGGCAGGGTCCCGCGTAAACGTGGAAACGCGGAATGTGGGACCGCGTAAAGCTAGGGTTGACTGTATTGAAGTCTGGCTTATCGAGGTTTTACTGTAATGCTACAATATCTGATATATTCCTTGAAAGCATTCACACTGCATGGGAGGAGGTAACTGCTCTCAGTATCAGGAATCATATTTTTCTTTTTCATATGAAATTTCTTTACACCTGTACTCAGATTTCTTCCTTTGGCTAAGTTTTCATATTTTATTACAGATTTTTACAAACGAAGAGGGACAATCAGTTATTCCAGTCATCAATTCTTCTGGAGAAACAATTGCTGAAGTTCAAGGACACTTCCTGGCAGATGTAAGTTGCTTATATCTTTGTTTTTTGTTTTTTCATTATCAGATCTGTATAAGACTGGAATTTTTTGTTACATGAGCTTTTTTAATATATGTTAAATGTTTAAGGGCACTGTGTATATTTAAGTAAAGTACAGTACTGGACTGATGTCGGCAATGAATGCAAAAGTTTTAGGAATATTTCGTATTTGAGTACGAATACAAAGTAAATGAAGCAGTACCCAGTGGAGAGGATGAAAATGTAAACAATTGTCAAAATAAGTGACAAGTAAGACAATTTTATGGAGGGGTGTGGTTTTGTGAATTACATCTTTATGTTGTGTTTAACACTTAAACAAGTAAGTAAAACAAACTTTCATGAATATTTAAACCTTTTCACAAAGTGGCTTGGGATAAAAAAACTAGTAAGGATAGTTCACCAAGCACTTGTTTTACCACAGTACACAGCTCGGTGACAGCAGTGTTGTAAACACGCATCATCTGGTGACCTCCGTGTGTGCCCGCGTCTGCTCCTGGGGCCAGTGTATCAACAATAATGGTTATTTGTGCAATATACGGGTGCACCAGCAATGATCAAATCCAAAACAGAGAGCACATTAAGTATTACAGATTTCCCAGAGATAAGAAAATTTGTGATAAAAGGATATATGCCTGAAAGAACTCTGATAAAAAAATAAACACCACATTAGGCTAGCCAAGACCTTGTTGGAAGAGTTCATGTTTTTTTTGTATCCTTAATTCTGGAATGTCTATTGATATCCATGTACAGTATCTATAGGAAGGTGAGACATTCATCTTGCTATATGTGATCAAAAATAACTCAACTTATTTAATAATCTTCAAAAAATTAAAATTAAGTACATAGGTATGTGAGTTTCAGGTGTCAACACCGCACTTGTTTCGAGACGCGAATGAAGATTTCTTGTAGTTTCTTAATTCTGCAAAGTCAGTCAATATCAGGTCATCCAGAAAATCGTGAGGCATTGTTCTTGTCAGGTGCCCACCCAGGCACAGGTCACTGACCCACATCAGGGCCTGGGGGACAAAAATATAATACAGTTGAGTCTGCATTTACGCGGTCAATTGAACCCATGGACGCCTGCGTAAAAAGAGAAACGCGTAAATGAAATTACAGAACATATGGGATTAATTGAAAAAGAGACTGGGCCGACCCCCAAACTCCACTTTTTCCGACACAATACCTACGTTGTAGTGAAAATAACTAATTAATTTTATGATGGTATGCACACACAATTAATATTTAAAAGAAATACAGTCGCCCGGTTAATGTCCATTCAAATAATGGACTCAACACGACACACCCCCCACCTCTTCCCACGCTCGCTGGCTCCTCCCTCTTTGAGAAATGTTTGGGTGAAAACACTAGATTTTAAGGTATAGTAATAAATAATACCTCAGACTAAAGTTATGATAATACAGTATAATTGACATTGCTGGATTCCTTGCAGGCCAGGGAATATTTTGAATGTAAACGTCATATATTTTGCACAAAAGATAAAATGTTTGCTAATTTTCATCATCTCCTTAAATTACATCTAAAATTTGTATGTCTAATGTAAATTTTAAGATGTTTATATTTAAAATGATCACCATCTCGTTAACCGAGGGACCACTGAATATAATTAAAGAAAATACTTGCAGTGTGTTTAATATATTACAGTGTGTTATAAATAAATAAATAAACAAATAAATCGGTAAACCCATTTAAAGGACAGTCAACCCTCACTTTACGCGGTTAATGTAACCCACAGGGTACCGCGGAAAGTGAGAAACGCGTAAAGTGAATAACATAACGTATGGGATTAAATGAAATAGAGACCAGCTGACCCCCAAACTCCACTTTTTCCAACACAATACCTATGTTCTAGTAAAAATAACATCTTAATTTTATGATGGTACATGCACACAATTAATACTTAAGAGAAATAGAGAAATACAGTCGCCAAGTTAATGTCCATTCAAATAATGGACTCGACTCCCTCCCCCTCTTCTCACACTACACTCGCTGGCTCTTCCCTCTGAGAAATTTTTGGGGGAAAACCAGGTATAGTAATAGATAATACCTCAAACTAAAGTTAGGATAATGTAATTGACATTGCTGGATTCCTTGTAAGACCAGGAATATTTGCAGTGGGGTATGCTATAACGAATCTAATTGGTTCTAGAACCTTGTTCGTTATAGCATTCGTTCGTTATAGGATTAATCCATTCCAGGCCGCCAAATACAACCACTTAACACTGAAAAATATAATATAAAATTGTAAAAATTGTAAAAAGTGCATAAATATGCATCTAAACCCCTGAAATAACCAATATCATTAATACTTGTAATAAAAAACAATAAATTAGTAAAAAAAAAAAAATATTTTTTTTTTAAATAATGTTCGTTGTAGGATTTTCGTTCGTTATAGCATTCTCAATTTTATAGGTAAAACCGTTCGTTATAGGAATATTCGTAGTAGGATCCGTTCGTTATAGCATACCCCACTGTAAATGTCATATATTTTTCACAAAAGATAACATATTTACTCAGAGTAAACATTACATCTAAAATTTGTATGTCTAATGCAAAATCTATGATGTTTATATTCAAAATGATCATCAAATTGTAAGAATTCCAGCAATGTAAATTATATTCTGGCCGGGTAATTTGTATGAATTTTATGAGCTAAAAACAAATTTCTTCAGTAAATAAACAAATTATACTTCACCCAGACACTATCTGTCAATCAAAATACCCCACCTCCCACTCCCCCCCCTCTTCCCACTCTCGCTGGGTCCCTCCCTCCCTCCCTCCCTACCAGAGAAATGTTTGGGTTAAAACAGGATATTTACATTTTTAGTAATAAGTAATACCTCAGACTAAAGTTAGGATAATATAATTGACATTGCTGGATTCCTTGCAGGCCAGGGAATATTTTGAATGGAAACGTCATATATTTTGCACTAAAGATAAAATGTTTGCTAATTTTCATCATCTCCTTAAATTACATCTAAAATATGTATGTCTAATGCAAATTTTAAGATGTTTATATTTAAAATGATCACCATCCTGTAAGGATTCCAGCAATGTAAATTATATATTTTATAAGCTAAAAACATATATATCTAAAGTAAATAAACAAATTATACTTCACCCACGTAAATGATGAAATTTACCGCGTAATTAAAACATTTCATTTTGGCAAGGTGCCGCGTAATTGACCAAACGCGTAAACAAAAACGGCGTAAATCCAGACCCAACTGTAATAATAATAATACAAAAAACAATAATAATAACAATATTAACAATAATATATACAAAAATGAAAAAAAAAATCGGTGAGAAACGATATACAGTCACCTCGCGTTTTACGCGCATTTAATTTAAGCGTTTTAGGAATAACGCAAGTGTTTAATTAATACCAAAACCTAATTTACACGCACCTATTTTTGAAATAACACGCTCATATTATTTTTAATTTGCCGCATAATCGCCTTGCAGCGGAGTCGCGTGTGATGCCTGGTGAGGTGCTTGTACGTATTACTGTAAAGTTACATTCATATCAACATCAACAATTTTTATGTTATTATTAATAATACAGGTCCACAATCCCTTATCCGCAATTCCGAAATCCAAAAAGCTATGAAAACCTAAAAATTTTCTTGGAGCATCATTCGTGTGCACGACTTGCCCAGAGTGATGCCAGACATTACCCAACGCGGCCAAAGCTTGACCCACGCAAGTGTGAGGCGTCAGTTGTGTGTCAGCAGAATATAACCTGCATCACTGGAATCCTAGCAAGACAGCGAATAATTTGAATGTAGACATCATATATTTTGCACAAGAGATAAAAATTTTAGTCCTTTAGTGTAGTACATTTAAATATAGTCTCTCCTCGACTTACGATGGGGTTCTGTCCCGATGGCCAGGTGGTAAGTCGATTTGGTCGTAAGTCGAAAAGGTGGAAATAATACATAGAAATTCTAAAATGAAATACAGTACAGTAAAAGTAATCAATAATGAAAAATAAATAAAGTGTTACTGTGCACTTACCTTTAATGTAGTCAGCTGAATGCACACGGGGCCTCAATAATTTTTAATTAAGCATGGAGACTACTGTACATTAATTGGATGGAGCAGAAGAGGAGACAGGACTGGGTGGGTCATCAAGTTCACTGTCTTCAGACAGGCTAACATACTTGCTTGTTGAAGGTATTGGATCATCTTTAGGGAGTGAAGAGGCAGCAGTTTGCCTTTTCTTTTCATTGTAAATCTCCCTGCAGCAAGCAAGTGCATCTTGGATCAGTCTGTCAACTTTTACAAAACGCTCAACATTTTGATCCATTTCTTCAAACATTTGCATCCCCTTATTAATAGTAGCAAATGCCTCTGCCATTTGTTTCACTGAAAACTTTTTGGGGAGTGCAGGTTCTTCTTTTACATTTTGTCTCTCTTCTTCCTCTGCAAATTTCTGTGCCTTCAGTTCAATAGGATCCTCGTTACTTAGCACTTCTGCTACACTTTCCACCAACTGCTCAACATCTTCATTATCAATTTCTAACTCCAGATGTTTATCCATCTGCACTATCTTGTTACTAATCTCAGAAATTGCTTCATCTTCATTAAATCCTTTGAAACTGTTCACATATCTTTTCAGGACCTTCTTCCATATTCCATTATGCACTGACCTGTAACCCCATCCCATGCTGCAGCTATGTTCTTTGTACATTGCAAAATGCTGTAGTCCTTCCAAAACTCTCTGAGCGTTTTCTCACCTTCAGTAGCAGCAAGGTGAAGGTTGTACGTAAATAATACGCTTTAAAAGCAGCAATTGCACCTTGATCCATGGGTTAAATGATAGAGATAGTGTTAGGTGGAAGGTAGACTACCTTAACATCAGGGTGCAGGTCGTCCAGGTGTGGTGGGTGTCCCAGAACATTATCTAAAATTAATAAAATCCTGAAGGCAATCCCTTGTTGCAGACAATACTCCTTGGCTCG